CGTGTCATCTCTCTCTCTACACTCACCACTGCTAGCAGACCATTCTCTCCTGCGATCCTAATCGCGGGTCTCTGTTCTTGCGATATTACCTTCTTCTTCTTCTTCTTCTTCTTTTGTTTTTATGGGCGGTTGGCAAACAGCTTTCGGGTGCATTACCACCACCTACTGATCTGGAGTGTGGACTAAGGATCTAAATCACTATACACAACTCCAAAAAAAAAAACATCTTTTAACATTTAAACAAATAAAATCAATAAACTTATATTTCTCAAATTATATTTATTAGTCTTGTTGATCCTAAATACAGCGATATTACCTCTAGATCTTATTTAAAGTTATAGAACATTAATTTTACCCTTAAATTTCACTCCCTACATAAACTATAAAATTAAAAGTAAAAAAAATATATATAATTCTGTTTTTAAAAACTATACAATGTTATTTGTTAAATTCACAATTAATAATTTTGGCTATGGTAGCCTAAATTATATGGAGGGAATGTGTTTGAATGATAATGACGGTATGTTTACAGTTATCACTACTTTAAATTACACATTTGGCTTTAGTGCTTGCTTTGACCAATTTTTAGCTGCTTTGGTTTGAGGGACTAATTAACATGCTAATTTGTGCCAGCAGTAAGCACTTTGACCACAGGTGTGCAGCTAAAAACTGCTTTTGCTTTGAGCTTTGATTGAAAGGTGGCATTGAAGGCAGGTCTTTATTCGCAATGCGCTTCCGCTTGCTTTTTTCTACATGGCAACCCCACAAAGTCAAATGACTCAGCTGTTATATATGCTATGGGTATCATTACCACTGTCAGAAACATAGACCATAGAGCTCCAGGATGCAGGAACTGAACAATATCCAACTATCTGTCTCGGCATCTGAATAAATATAGGCTGCTTCTGGAGTGTGTAAGTGTTTTTGGACTGACCTGTACTATATAAAACTGTCTTTTTCAGGACCTGAAGGTTCACAGAAGCGTGAAGGCTGTGCTGGCTGTTCTCAAAGAGTAAGGTCAGCATTTCAGCTGAACTATAAACAAACATCACAACAAAAAAAACTGCATTTACCTGTGTATGACTATCTCTGTTCTGTATGCAACTACTGTATGGCCATTTGTGGACTTTTAGATAAATAAACTTTTAAATACACCTTTCTCACCTTGACTAATTTATTTGTCTACCAATGCCCAATGCTGATTTACTATTAATGTTGGAAACGGTTGTGCTGCTTAATTATTATTATTATTATTATTATTATTTATTTTGTATTTTATTTTTTGGAACCTGTGATACATTTTCAGGATTCTCTGATGAATAAATAAGTAAAAAGAACATATTCAAAATAGAAATATTTTATAACAGTATACACTCAATTTCTTTCAAAAGTTTGAAAGAAATTAATACCTTTATTCAGCAAGGATATGTTAAATAGATTTTTTTTTTAACTGATAGTAAAGATTTATTATTTTACAAATGTTTCTATTTTGAAAAACATATAACAGGCTCCAAAATAATATTAAGCAGCAACACTGTTTCCAATACTGACAATAAATCAGCATAAATATCATGGTATTACATAATCAAATAATCATAAATAAAAATAATCATGAACAATTTTATTTTGTTTCTAATAATATTAATTTTTATTATGCATATATATAATATCAAGTCAAGTCAAGTCAAGTCTAAAAAATATATTAAGACATTGATTTTTATGTATAGTTTATGATGGATTTAATCATTTTCGTAATGGTTGTAATGGTTTTTATACTGTACAAACCGTATTTTCTATTGCCCTACACCAACCCTACCCCTCCTTACAGGAATTCTGCATTTTTAGATTTTCAAAAAACTTAATTCTGTATGATTTATAGTGTGTGTGTGTGTGTGTGTGTGTGTGTGTGTGTATGTGTGTGTGTGTGTATGCGTGTGTGTGTGTGTGTTTGTGCTCTGCAGGCGATTTCCTCGTCAAATAATGCAAAAGAAATTCAGAAGTTTTTAAATGGACTGGAAAAACACACTCGAGCAGTGATTTCCCTAAATGACTTCCGTTTGGCAGCATACGGCCTTTGCTCAGAGGTCAGACAAACACGCCGCTCAAAGGGCCGTTAGGAGAGAGTTTGACGTTTTATTTCCTCTGCTGATGGTCTGGACGGATAAGGACAGAACTGTTTGTTTGTTCAGACGCTGGTCATTTCCCCAGGGCTCCTGTACTGCAGGTGAAAGCCAACACAAACACCAGCACAAACTCAGCACAACACAAACAAAATATAGTGTCTTACATTTAAGTGTTTTGGCAGAAGCTTTTATTCGCATTTGTTGCATTCCTGCAGCTTGAACAGCAGATCATTGCACTGGTTAAGATCATGGGTTCAATTCCCAGGAAATGCATGAACTGATACATTTTATACCTTCAATGCAACGTAAGTCGCTTTGGATAAAAGCATCTGCCAAATGCATGAATGTAAATCTTAATGACTAACAATAAAGGAAACATTTTCACAAGACAAAGACTTCAACACAGTGTTGAGTAGACAAGGTTTATTTATATTGCACAATTCATGCACAACAGTAATTCAGATTGCTTTATATAAAAATAAGTTTAAGAATAGACTCAAAAAGTGCGTAGAAAGTTTTCTTGTAGACAAAATCTTCAAAGTAATAGTCAATGAATTGCATGTATGTTGATATTATAGTGTAAAATGAGTAATAAATAACATGCATGAAAAAGAATGTGCATTTGTAGAATTAACCTTATTTTTTTTATGTTATGAGTTTAATACATTTTGCTGTGTTGTACATTGGTCAAATAAAGTTTGTGAAAGTTTGAAGTAGTAAGACTGAAATAGTATTTTGTTTTATTTACAACTTCAAAAATAATTTTTACAGTAGTTTTATATTAGGCTACTTTTAGTTTTTAGTTTTAGTTTATGAAATTATTTTAATACATCAACTTAAACTTAACAAAAATGTTTTCAGTAAGTGTTTATTTTTTTATAGTTTGAGTTTACAACAATAATAACCCTGCATATCATCAATGTACCAGTTATGATAGTAAACTAAAACTAAACAATAAAAGTACATTTTTGTGACTTAAAATAAATGTTAACTGAAATAAAATAAAATATTTAAAACTTAAACTTATTTTATTTCAGCTAGTATGCAAAGCAAACATTCTCTCTTTCATGTAAAGTAAAAATAAATCTGAAATAAAAGTAATAAAAATAATATAGACATACTTAAAAGCAACAAAAAAATCACACGAACACGCGACAAAATAACTAAAACTTTAGCTAAAATTAACATGAAAGCAGAAAACCTAAATAACAACATGAACAAAAACTCTAACAGAATCTCAGAGATACTAAAATAACACACACTTGTTCTGCGGTGTAGCAGTGACTGTTGCGTGGGTGTCATCAAGCGCACAGATAAAGACACGATCAGAAGCTCCTGGAATTCATTCCACGGCTCTTCAAAGGGATGCCAGGCTGTCACTGACATACACCTCCTGCTCCATCACAATCCGTCCCGTTAAGAGGAAAAACATGGGCTTAAATTACTCGCAGATGGAAGCGCGACACGAAATGCACGGCCCCTGAGCCCGAGGCACGGGGCCGGGGACATCAGAGGAATGACTGGAAAGATCCAGAAGAGCTCCAGAGGGGTTGGAGTTCTGTCTTTAATTCACAGATGTATGGAGTCGCTCTTCACAGCCGTTACAGTGTCGATCTGTTTGATGTTTACAGCTCCTCATGTTGTTCTTAGACAGCATAGGATGTGTTTAGCGTCTCTTCCTGCTTCGACACCCAGAGGATCTCGAATTCGCGTTCCTCCGTTTCATTAGACTGCCTTCCACTTCACTTATTTGGATCCTTTTGAACGCCTTACATCAAAGAGATCCAGAGAAAGGTCGCATTCACCGAATGGACAGCGATCATCAGCCGCAGGTGGAGATCCAACTTCAGTGAAGACGGACAAAACCTGAACTATTGACATGATTTCCTTTAAAACGCTCGTTTTCAAAGTGACATCCAGACCGAACATGCCAGAGGAGATAGATAGATAGATCTTCTGGGACGACAGCCATGCAGACCAATTTGATGCAGTGTGCGGCGTATGGTCTGAGCACTGACAGGCTGACCCCCCACCCCTTCAACCTCTGCAGCAATGCTGGCAGCACTCATACGTCTATTTCCCAAACACGACCTCTGGATATGACACTGAGGATGTGCACTCAACTTCTTTGGTCGACCATGGCGAGGCCTGTTCTGTGTGGAACCTGTCCTGTTAAACCATTGTATGGTCTTGGCCACCGTGCTGCAGCTCAGTTTCAGGGTCTTGGCAATCTTCTTATAGCCTACGCCATCTTTATGTAGAGCAACAATTCTTTTTTTCAGATCCTCAGAGAGTTCTTTGCCATGAGGTGCCATGTTGAACTTCCAGTGACCAGTATGAGAGAGTGAGAGCGATAACACCAAATTTAACACCTGCTCCCCATTCACACCTGAGACCTTGTAACACTACAGTGACGTGATATGTGGCCAAGTATCGTGACCCATACTTGAAATTTTTTTTTTTTTTATTAAACTGCAATAAACACAGTCAAAGTATAGTTAGGACTGCAATAATACACATGAAAACAGAACACGTACTGGAACTCCATAGACAGCTAGAAACTCAGAATAAGTGAGTAGCATGCCTTCTTGTTTTAATAATTGAATAACTCCTATTATGCCTGCTGAAAACCAATTTTCAAAAAAATAATAATTTATTTTAATATATTATTGTAATTGTTCCAAATTAGGTACCTATGGGGAGAAAACTTGTTTATACAATAGAGACCAAGCCAGCAACATTTGTTTATGAAAGCAGGATAATCAAGAAGCAAAATCAGATACGTGCATACTCAATAAAACCCATTATAATGTATCATCGGTGAAGCATAAAGTTTTGTCAAACAAACACGGTGACGTCACAGTGTCATGGCGGCGAGCGGCGCGGCTGTGTCGGTTTTAACTCCGAATGGAAGAAGACAGACCGTCAAAGTGTCTCCAAACACACCTTTATTACAGGTATGAGCTCGTTCACACGCTCGTGTGTGTTTGTGGAGCTCATCGCGATGGCTGTGTGTGTTTACAGCGGCTCAAATCCTGCATAATAGCGTTCTGACTCAGCTGAACTAGTGAGCTGCCTACCTAGTGCCCTAGACAGCCTTTGCTTTGGGCATTGTGTTCAGATTGAGAAATAGTAATGTCCTATTCAGCAATTTTGGGCATCGTAGGTAAATTCTTATTCAGCTGGGCTTGTGAGCTGCCTACCTAGTGCACTAGACATTAAGGTAGCATAGGTGTGTTCACTACATGACAGGCCTGATCGTAATGATTTGAGACACAGCTGGTTTAATAGGATGATGCTAGTTTTTTAATTATCAGGTTAATTTGAACATTAAATGATGAGTTTTATATTTATAAGTAATGCATTTAAAAATGTTTAATCCTGCAGGTTCTTGAGGATGTGTGTAAAAAACACGGCTTTAATCCAGATGAACATGGACTCAAGTGAGTGTAACCTGAAGTGTGTGTGTGTGTGTATGTGTGTGTATGTGTATATATATATATATATTGTACATGCATATATGTATGCTTAATCTTTACATAGTTGTGCTCATAAGTTTATATACCCCTTGCAGAATGTGCAAAGTGTTAATAATTAAAACAAAATAAGAGGGATCATGAAAATTGCATGTTATTTTATATTTAGTACTGTCCTGAATAAGCTGCGGGACTCATACAGAGCTATTACAAAAGGTGAAAACATCTACTGATGCTTAAGAAGGCAACACGATGCATTAAGAGCCGGGGGTGTAAACTTTTTAAATTGGATGATCAGGGTAAATTGTACTTAACATGTAAGTATTTATGTAGCAGTACCAAATGAAAAAATATGATCATAAAAAAAAATGAGAAGAATTTACACATCGTCATCCTGTTCAAAAGTTTACCCCCCCCAAATAAAAAAATAGCATGCAATTTTTATGATCCGTCTTATTTAGTTTAAATTATTAACATTTTGCACATTCTGCAAGGGGTATGTAAACTTATGAGCACGACTGTATATAATTACATACAGCTGTACATAAGTATATAAATAAAAATTGTATGTATGTGTGTGTGTATATATTTATATATAAACAAATTATAAATGTGTACAGTATATATTTAAAACTAATATATTATGAGTTTTTATTATATGCATTTATGAATTCATGTTAAGGATATTGCCTATATTATTCTCTCTACCTGTCTGTCTGTTTATCTATCTATCTATCTATCTATCTATCTACATAGATAGATAGATAGATAATATAGAATATATATAACTTGCATAATAATAAACATGAATTCATCAACACATGACTGTATGTGTGTGTGTGTGAGTGCGTGTGAGCGTGTGCGTGCGTGCGTGTGTGTGCGTGCGTGTGCGTGCGTGTGTGTGAGTGTGCGTGCGTTGTGTGTGTGTGTGTGTGTGTGCGTGCATGCGTGCGTGCGTGTGTGTGCGTGTGTGTGTGTGTGTGTGAGTGAGTGCGTGAGTGCGTGAGTGCGTGAGTGCGTGAGTGCGTGAGTGCGTGAGTGCGTGAGTGCGTGAGTGCGTGAGTGCGTGAGTGCGTGAGTGCGTGAGTGCGTGAGTGCGTGAGTGCGTGAGTGCGTGAGTGTGTGTGTGTGTGTGTGTGTGTGTGTGAGTGAGTGCGTGAGTGCGTGTGTGCGTGAGTGTGCGAGAGTGTGCGAGAGTGTGTGTGCGTGTGCGTGCGAGTGTGTGAGTGTGTGAGTGTGTGTGAGTGTGA